TAATAATTGCTATATTCTTGTTATGATTATTTTCTCAAATTCCCCACTGTACGTCTATGAACAAGTGCACTGAAAATAGATGCCGCTATTGCCTTACAATAATCTGTTGAATTTCTTGATAACTTCTTAGTAAATTTTGTTGAAATTTCGTAATCGATAGTGTATAAAAGCTAGGAAAACCATCCTATAATTTATGAGCAGTTCAGCGATATTGGACTTATCAGTAGTCATGGGAAACTTATAATATTATATCTTAATTATGCCTGGCTATACGCAGACAAGCGCTGATTGAGGTTAGTAACGATAAAAGTGAAAGGCTGCATCGCTGGCGGCAGATTGAGCTGTTGTGCGGCTGTAATATCACGTTAAATTGCGGTCTCGTGCAACTCGAGGCCCTTCTTCATGGACGTGTCATCATCGCCAATCCTGCGCATGGCCACTCGTCTCATGGCAACAACAGTAATACGCCCACTGCCGGTGAGCTAATCAGCCAATAATACAGGAGATCCCATTGCACGCGACAGAACAAAGCAAACGAACACATAACAGTTAGGACAGAAATTACTTCAAACGACTATGAAGTTAGCATTCTTCTCGATGTAGGTACCGGCTTCATGATCATAAAATGCGCTCACTGCACTCACTAGCTTCCTCCTAAAATCCGTTAAAATGGTCGTTCATGCCTCAGAAAACGTCAAAGGTGAACTGATCGCGAAAATGCACTTCATATTCAATTTTTAGGAAGCACTAAGAGCGTTATTTCTCGATCCGGCAGTGAGGGAACCTTAAGCGGAGACGACAGCCCGGGCTCATCCTCGTACAACAATAACAACAATATAAGCAGTGGTACGGTGTTAGTTATTAACTAAGTATTAAGATGCCTCCCACGTTTTTCGTTTGCATAGGCGTAAACTATTTCGTAAATTATGTTGCTTTCAGGTTGGCGTTGTAAAGCAAGTAACTAAGTGCCCGGAGTTCTAAATTTTTAACATGCTGAAATTCGTTGATGTAATTATACTATAATACGCGTACGTGATTTAAAAAAAAAACAGGTGTAATTGGAATGACAAAGATTTGTACAATAATGTTGAAAAACAAGTAAGAAAAACAAGCCTAATGAAGGCAAAGAATATAAAATCGTATATGTATATTAACAAGCAACAAGATCCACTTACGGGAATCCGGTTATGTACAATGTGATACGTGTGAGTAATTTTTCCCGTCAGTCTTCTATATTATGGATTGATCATTGTAAACTTCTCTTGTCGCGTTTCTATAATCGTTTGTCTAACACATTTGCACCGACCTTAACTACCACATCCCGAGAACCTATACAATGTGGTTAGGTAATTACATTTTTATGCTGATTTTTGTGTATACAATTTTATATCACTCTATCATAAGCCCGGTTTTGTTCTGTGTGTCTCGCTACCTTTACTAATGACGCTCTTCAAAACTTGAATGGATCAATAATCTAATGGCCTTGGCGTGGTAAAGTAAACCAGTTGTTGCGAGGTTCGACGGCGATTCTGCTGGCTCCCTCATTACGGCATCAATGCTGCCTTGACCAGCAAGGTCAACTTGTAGACGTCGCCCTCAGTCATCAGGTATCCGGCACCCGAAGTTCTGTCGTATCAGGCGCTGAAAGAGCGCGCAGCAGAAGTCTCTGTCCGGAGCCAATTGACCATCATGCGGGTAGGCTCATCATCCGCTCTGCAAATGTAATAGTAAAAGACCTGCATTAAACTTGCGCAGACTTCAGCCTGCTGATTGTGTCAGCAAATGTACACGTTGAGTTCATTTTCTGGTTTGCCGCCGCTTGAATAAAGTCGCTCAGCCTTCAGTTTTCTGCTACTATTCTGTGATTTTTCAAAAGCAGAGGAGAGAGTCGTTATCGACCAATTTGATGATTGTCTTTTCTCCGCATCCTCATTCTTCGCATATGTGTGCATAAGTATGCACGGCTGCAAGAGCACATTATTTGATACAAGAGGAAAGACATGTGCACTTATCGAAGTGAATAAACACTTTAATCTGACTATAGTGAACAATACGTCTTCTGATGACCTCATCCGTTGTAGGTGTTTGTGCATGTTTTGTTGATGGCGAACTTAAAATTTCAGTGCTTAATTCATAATTGAGAAACCCACCCAACGACCTGGGCGAGCCACAATTTCGTAGTACAAACTAGCCTAGCTTCTGTTGCCCTACTTCTGTTATCCTATTTCTTAGGATATGTGAAGAACAGAAAGTTCTATACATACTAGTACCTTACACAGTGCTCGTTATAACACAATGGCCTATTGTTTAAATCATATGCATGTTTATTGATTACTTCAAGCATACATGTATCTGCTATATATCTGAAAAACAACAACATATTTTGCCGATATATACGGTTAAGTTTCCATTGTCAAAAGTTTGCGAGGCGTACGCTTGGTGACGCTCATAGTCATTAAAAATGCTTATAAATGCTCTAGTAAAGTTGTTTATAATTATAATTTTCTCTTGTATTCCTATTCAGTATACAGATATGCTTGTAAATACTTGTTTGAAATACAAACAACATAAAGATGTTTGTTTCATCATATTATTACTGTTTTCCAACGCTTCTCCATATCGCGGCGCTCCATGGTATAGTTGCATCGACTGCTAGCATGTCGGTGATGTCTTCTAAGGCGGCCAACACTGTATATGGTGTGCCTCCATCCGGGCGACGTGTTGGAGTCCAACAATCACAAAGTCTCTATGGAGATTATTACGCGCAACAAATTATGCAACAGACGATGCACGGTTTTCATCATTCGAGTGGTTCTGGTGGTGCGTTGGCGTCATCGGGTATCGGAGGTATGCCAATGGTTCCAATGCCGGGAACGCCGCCTGGCAACAATTCAGCGCCTTTGTCAGCCGTGCGCCGAGAGGAACCTGATGGAGATTTAACGCCGCAAGTTGGCCATACCTCAGTGTCCTTTCACGTTGGAGCGAACGGTACCTCGTGAGTATCATTTTTACTGAGGTATATTCCAGCGGTTAACATGTTTTAAAACTGTTATTTTTCATATATTAATTATGGTGTTAAATTAGCGAAATTTATCGTCTAATAACAATAATGATTGTATTCATAAATGCTAGTTAATGTAATGTTTGTACGATAAGACAAGACAAATATGGTCTATTCTTAATACAGGCCTTAAGTTTGCTGCGTCTGTTGATATTATATCAACGTTGAGATTAACTTATTTAAATTAAATGTCACCACCTTTATATAGAAAGTGCGCTTTTGTATCCAACCAACGAGAAAAATAAACATTGACATTCCCCAAGCGGGTCATTGTTATCTCATATTGATACCTACTTTTTTTTATTTTAGGCCCACATCGGAGAATGGAAGTGCATTTGCTGCTCCAGTGATGAGTTCGTCACGAGGGGTTCTTCTAAAGGGCACCAGCATAGATGGTTCTACCGATGGTGCCCTCGATGATGAGCCGAATGCCAACCGAATCAGTAGCGCAAAACCTAAACGAAAAGGTTACTGTATTGACTATCTTTATACACTAGCCCTATAGAGTACCAATCAGTTGTTCTGCCGTACGTGAAATAAGCGAAGTATCTATTTCTATCAGGTATTATTGATTTATTGGTTGAGATCTCTACCATTTCCCTGTATTTGAGGTAAACCTTTTAAAAGATTCTATGGATTGCATGTCAGCGTCACAAAAGCTCATTAATTAATAAGGCGAACAAAAATCTTCTTGTTTCAGAGCAACAACAAACAGACAAATAATAATGTGTTTCAATCCGATCGTATATTCGATTAACTTGAGTGAGCAGTTTTTATCGATTATTGAAAATTATTTAACCTGTATTTGAAGCCTCAACAGATTAGTAGTTACTTTTATTGGATTATTACTAATAACTATTAATTATAATTATATTAATAATAAGCCAGATGACAAACTAGGCGTAAGTTCAATATGTATAAAAGAGACAATCTGAGATAACCAAAAATGACCTGAGATAAAAACCCGGTCGAAACTAATTTAAGTCTCACTTGCTGCTCATTATTTGCAGGAAGCAAACGACGTAAGTTTAAGGCACGAAAAAACACTTTAATATTTAATCTGTTTGCTTTTGCTTAATCAGTTTTGAGTATCGTGATCCCTCAGACATATGTTCCCTACCAGCGTATGGAGGCGTCTAAACCTTCTGAATTATCGACTTTAACAAGCTTAGCCATATTATTTTTCCAGAGTAGTTTCCAATTTCCATTATATTGCACACTTCAGAAGAATCGCATTATAGAATAATTACTCACTCTTTGTCTTTCGCTTGATTTGCGTGTTTTACTCGCACCGCGTGTAACCTCACCCCTGAACACCTAAAAACTGATCTACGCTAAACTTTGCTACAAAAAGAACTACTTATAAAAGTAGGTGGACAACACAATATGGGGTACTTTAATTGTATTTAGTTTTATCACTGCCAGTTCACCGGCTCAACATGTTCCTAGTGGTTAACTAAGAGGAAGTGAAACGGTGCTGGCAAAAAAGGAAAACTACTTCTTCCTATAACTTCCTACCTAAACTTTCCGGCCGTTAGTTACCCAGCTTAAACTCTGTATTTTCGACAATCAGTACTCTATTAAATTCGGGCTCGTTCTGAGCCAGATGGAACAAACTAGCCTGTTGGTTTTAAATGCATTTTCTACTTTTATCCTCAACAGTGCATCATCTATTAAACCGTATTAACCAATTACTTTTCATCAGTTTCGGACTTGAGCAAATTATCTGAGTAGGCCGTTTTCGAACTAATTCTTTCTAACTTAACCATATAATATCTTACTTTCGACTCGCCCTTTTTGCCGCGCTGCTTCGCGACACATCCCGATTTGTAATCGGCTCTTTCAGGGAGTGCTTTAATGAACGCGATTAGAAGCTCGCTCACGTCAGCAACAACTTTAGTCGATTCGGAGGACAACTCTTCGCGAGGCTCGACGCCCGCTCTAGATGACAACGTCTCGCAAAAAAGTATCCGTAAGAAGACCGGTGTCTTCGGAGCCATCAAGAAGATGTCCCGTGGTAATAAGGACAAAACAACGGCCGATCGAGACAGCTGAATTGAGGAAAGCCTGACTCGCTGATTCGGGAGACTCTGATATAATCGATATGTGAGTCGCATCACATCGCTTCCCTCACTAGGAGAGCATGTCTGCCGTTCTGTAAATCTCGACGCTGTGCCGAATGTTTTCAAGTAAAAAATCGCTGTTACACTGTGTTATTACTAAACAATCTAAATTTCTATAAGCGCACGTACAATGCAGAGACGAATACTTAATGATGTTTGTTACTGATTAGGGTTATATTCTAACTCTTCGTAGTGAACTTTGCACGAATTGCCTACAAGAAAAGCATTCAATGGCAATTAGGTTTGTTACTGATTTTTCCCGGAGTTTCGGGATGTGACACCGAATGATTATAACGATAGTCTCAGTTAGCTTGAGAGAGAGATTAACGCTGTTGATGTGAAACGTCAAAGCATCAGACACCCGTTTCTTCGCCCGCTTTTGTATATGCTCGGATGTACATTGTTGCAATTGAGAACAGGACGAGTTGTTATCATCGATTGGATTGGTGTCCAGCTGGCGCTTAGTGTTCATTAATTAGTTCGTATGTGTGAGAATAGAAAAGAAAAAGGACTAGGCTGTGGGAGCGAAAAGGGACAAGAAAAAAGTTCGCTACCCAAGATCACATTATGAATTCTATGTGTATGTGTGCAAGCTGTAATATAATATAAGATGAAGTTAGAAAATTGAGATTTTAACGATGGAAAAGGGGTAGTTTTAATGCTAGAAAGATAGAAGATGCAATCCATGCCTACTTATTTCATTTAGACGAGACTAAAGCAGACAGAAAATATGCTTTTGGATAGCTCTGGAAATCGGGAAATTTTGAGGATACGTTTACATGCCATTTAAAAAGAAGACCCACCTGTCTACGGAGGCAGTTGAATTTGAAGGTCATATAAAAACGATGCCCATAAATAGGTAATCAAAGAAAAAGACGATATCTTCCATAACACTATATATATATATATATATATATATATATATATATATATAGAAAAACAGCAGCACAGGAAATGAGATAATGGCGCTTCTGCACAATAGCGTAATTTTTAACACATCGTGAAGGTGCATTTCAAGTGTCTTAAGAAACTGTGCAGCGAGTACATAAAGAAAGCATCTTGAGACTAATGGCCCAATCTATCTACCTCTATAGCCGATGGAAAAGAGGAATTTCTTATTACAAAAATTAACTCTTAATATTATTGTTAGCACATATATTTTTCATGATTAATTGTACTAGTTATTATTTTACCATAAAAACTAATTTACTGCACATATTCTATATATTTACTTATAAAGATTCCGGTGCGCAGCTAACTAAACTGTGCACGTATTTCTGTAATATTAAAAACGATGTGCTTCCATTGTTTCAAGTTATTAGATAGCGTTCCCAGATATCATTTCTGTATTTACCCGTAATCGTAAATTACTACTTACATTGTCTGTCACAGGTTTTTGTCCTATATTTAAACTTGAAAAAGTGCTTGGTAATTTTAGGTTTTCAGGTAGAAAAGATTGATTGCTCGGCAAAAATAATTTCATCGACGTCCTGTTCATTTGATTTTTGTACATCTCAAAATGTACAAAACACATATTACATAAACTATTTTAACAATTGTCTGACTCATTCTCTAAATGCTTCCACTATCCACATATGTTTACTTTCTGTGCACTTATCTAAGTGGAAGTTTTATTAAATTCATATTGCCTATCCTTAATCCGTGTGAACTGTTGTGAGAAATCATAAAGGATGCCCATATAAATATATATATATATATATATATATATATATATATATATTTCTTAAGTACTTATATATATATATATTATATATATATGTATAAGTGTTTAAGTAATTGACCCTATCTGAGGTCGCTTTGTACATGATCTGTACTTCTATCTCAAATCAGAGATGGCAGGGGACAAACAACCAATAAGCAGCTACGCAAATCTCACAATGTACAAAACTTAAGAGGCCCTGCTGTCTATTGAAAAAAGTAATACAATATGTTATTAACACTATGATTACCTACCATTGCAGCTGCTGAAGCTATAGTGTAGTGCTATTTTTATCGCTCAGTATCCTAGACGTCCTGTTTATAAATTGAGCTGTAAAAGATACCACAAAAGCATACACGATAAAGCACGCAACTAAACACATCATGGGTAGAGATTTAAAAACCCATTATATCTATATTATGGGGCTGCAATGTATCGCACGCGCTAGTGCTACGATAGGAGCAATAAATACACCGCAGGCTAAGAGTTTCGTATAGATTTCGCCTCATCAACACCCACAGCTGCGGGTCTTCTAGGAACATTTATGGAAATGGAAGTTAGGGGCAAATGGACGAGATTCAAAACACATGAAAACTGTAATATAAATAAAGATGTATTTTGTCTCTTGTTTAATACAGCTGTGCTCGTAGATATTGGTGGTTATGTTACTTTAAGTTTATGAAGTTTGTTTAAAATTTAGTTTAAGTTTAACAAAAGACTACAACTATTTGCTGCGTATATCATTAAAAACTAAAATTTCCGTAAAAGCAGCCCTCGCTCCTATTAAAAGACATAATTTTAGGAGTCAAGGAGGTGTGTAAAAACTATGATTTCGATTAAGAAAGCTAAACTGCACGTTTTTGTCCATACGTAAATGGCTAGTACGTTAAATAATAACGGTTGAATTAATTATGCGTCACTGATTCTGTTTCAAATACTTAAAAATTATGATTACTCCTATCAGGCTCTGTAATAAATACTCCTATTTATATAAAGCAAGGATAATTTTTATACATTAGGACTAGCATTGATGATAGCGTTTTGTACAATCGTAAATAAACTGAACATAGCCGATTATACTGCTAGCGGCAAAAAACCGCAGCAAATATGGAAAATTGCATTATTAAAATGTATATCTGAATTCGATAATTGAAATTAAAATAGGCCAAGAAATACTACTTACTTGCATTGCACTCGAGCTCTCCTGGGGGAATATACTTCAGCTAAGCTGGAAATTATGGCAAAAATTTTCAAGATGCGGGAATATATTTAGACCTGACGGTAAATCAGCAATTATATTTTGATATATTCATAGATAACGTTGTCACAGATATAAATTAGCGAGTGAATTAGCGAGCAGCAACGTTAGATATGTATGCATGCTATTTAAAAAGTTGCTCGATCGAGATCAACGAAATTTTGACGGTTATAAGGGCAATCGACTACGTAATTTATTTCTATTAGATGTTCTAGTTAAGATTCTGAAATTTATTTGAGAGAATGCTATCTAAAGATATACATCATAAAATACTTCTACTTGTTATAATTTTACTTCGGCAAAGAGAGGAAAAAGAGCTAATAGGTTTCTCGGATGTAAATATTGTACGAGCGGATGAAGAGTAATCGCTGCTCCGAACAGGTAATGTCGTATTGTATTTAGCAGTTATGGTTAATACACTCGTGTCGGAAATGGCTAGAAGAAAAGTGGATAATCTATAAAAACCACAATGGTTCTCAGGCACCTTAGTTTCGTTTTAAGATAAACCTGGCTGCACAGACTGCTTGAAATCAACTGCTCTAAACATGACCAGCCTATTGCTATAGACTGACTGGAAGCTTCCCTTAATTGCTATCTTTAGAATCTCTTCTTAGACTCAAGGTCTTTTCGAATGCGTGGCGCCTTTTGTGTCGATAACATTGTCTGGCCAAGAACCTCCAGCCTAGAATTGTCTGCGCTAGTCTGTAGCACTTTTATCCATAGCGGCACTGCTCGTAATAGATACCTCCAAATCCTATCATTGTCGGAGGGTCAGGTGGTAACAGTCGGTATTCTTTGTTGTTTAAAAAAATTAATTGAGATAAGCTCTTGGAACATTGTTCGGCCGGCGTAAACTTCTCCGGTCTCAGCGAAACGTGAAAGCTCACAGACTTAGCGAGCTTTTACTAATAAAACTTTCTGTCTAGAACTACTGCGATATCGATTCAAGCTGCACCCCACAGATAAAACTACGTTTCTTTATTTAATCAAACTTGCTATCTATATATAAAGCTAGTTAGTTGCAAATTTGAGATTTTTATATCTTCAGGTTGCCTCTTGCTCGAAGAGTTTCCTGGGGATAATTCAAATAAGCACGAAGGAGGCTTCTCATGCGCCATGGTCTTGCTGTTTCATGCCCATTTTTTTGTTTGCGCCCGTTGGCTTTGATCGTTTCGTCTCGTCAAGTAGCTATAGCGTGAGCCCTATTGATTCTATTATTTTCACGAGTAGTTTACTAGTTGGGCCTAAAGATCCTTTTGTTCTAAACATCAAACTAGTGCTCTATAAAGACCTTGACAATACGCACTGACCTAATTATGTCTTTTTCCGGGGTAGTCTTAAAGAGCATCACTGTTGTGTAGTCCAAGCTCTTGTGTATTGTAATTCTATAAGATAGAAAAATTCACTTTATTTGGAAAACCTTTGAAATTTTATGTGAAGAATGTGAAGTTTACCATCCTTTACCTTAAGCTGCCACGTTCCAAGTACCAAGAAGATTTCATCATTTAAGGAAAGGAGGCTATCTTTGGCAAAAAAAAGAGAGAGATTCATGATGAGCGAAAAACACGCGCACTTATCTAGCTTTTTTTTGCTCAATCTGCATATGCTATTTCTAGTTTGAAACACGTTTGAAATCTCGGTAAACGTTTAAACAGACGAGACTGACTAATAAAAGAGAGGATGACTATAAAGACATTTAGGAACATTCCACAGAACTAAATTCGTCCACACAGTGAATCTAACAAGAAATTGAATGAGTCGTACTGTTCCATTCCTTTTTCGTTGACCCGTTTCCAGGTGCTCATTGTTAAGTTGTTCTCGATGACACTGATTACTAGTAAGTCTGGGATTACCAGTGCGCCACTATTTGTCAGAAGCGATTTCAGTGCTTTTTGCGTCTAGCTTTCACCGTGATCAAGTGTTATGTATAGTTCTACTGCAGTTAAGTATTGGTGAGTGGTTCTTCTCAGTGGTAAACAGGGTATGCCCACACTCTGCTTCGAACCCAAATTACGGTACGTGCTTTCAAGTTTAGTAGGCAAACATGTTACTACCGCATGGTCAGAATGTCGTAATCTAGGCCAACAAATGTTGGCTCTCAAAACTAGTGCGATCCTCGATTACCTACATTGGTTTCTCTCCATAGGCCCTGAATTACCTCTTTAAGAATGCGTGCTGTGTCACGCTCTTTGCGACATTTCGATTCCCACAAGCCTTATCTTCAGTAAAGAGCAATTCTGGGACCGCGCTTTTATACTTCAGCGACGCTGCGATATTTGGGTCCTTCGATATTATTGTAGCCTTAAAGCAGGTTAGTATCTCGGCTCGTACCTTTCGCACTTGTGTCTTGATAATAGCTGAGCTTGCCTTTGTTTTGACCTTTGGGATCGGCTGCTGATGCTTTTTGTCGCTGCCATTTCATGTCGCAATTTTTGTCAAAGTTGTCGATAAAAAAACGACAGAATATTTTCGAAAAAATATGAACTCCCTATAAAGCATGACGCTGCTTTAATCATTTATAAGCTAATTTGCTAAGAAAGTTGAACGAATATTGCTTTGCTTGGAAAGCCTTGAATTGTCTATTCTAGGAACAATGCTTGGCTTTAGCACAATCACTAAGCCTAACTTACTAAGCCGGAATATAGAAATGTCTCTTCTAGGATATTAAAGCTTATTATCTGATTCAGCTTTTTTTAAATTATAAAGTCAACATATTTGCTCTTTTTTGTAAGAATAATATATATAAACTTTCAATAGTTTTTGGCTCTATCAAAATCTACATTTTGAACAAATAAACACGACCACCTACATCTTTCTCTCAGTGTTAAGTGTCAGTCAATATATAACGGTTATTATAGTAGATCAAAATTGCCAACGTACTCCCCAACACTTCCAGTATATATTTAGTAAACTATGAAACAAAAGACAACAAATGAGATACTCACAGAAACTGTACAAGTAGCATTTATTCATCGTCTTCTTCACCATCATCCGTCTCTTTCTCTTCCTAATGTTGGTATCGCCCTGATCACCGCAATCGATTCTTATCATCATCATTAGAGAGCAATATGAGTAACTATTCAGTGCTATTCATCGGCCTTTTCCAATTATCGTTGCATTAGTTGTATCTTACCTCACTTTACACTTAAACTACTCAAATCTTCCTTGTCACGAATGCTGATGTCATTTCGTTTCACAAGCTGTATCTTCTTCTTTGTATTATATTCTGGTTATTGTCTAGTAACTATATCATCATAAGTAAATGAATAAACCTCGTCGTCTAAATGGCGTCAGACCTGAATCCTTCGCATAGTTACTTTCGGATCGTAAGCCACAGCCACCATTCCGCATTGTCACACACCCCCCAAAGCACACCGCCGTACTAAGGATCACCACACTTAACTGTTTCGTTTTTATCATAATAGTTAATGATAATAGTAACAAAAACTATACTATAATGTTAATCTCCTTAACCTGGCGTGGCGTACTCTTTTCCTATCGATTGCAAATTAAGGTAAAAGATCGGCGGATCGAACAAGACATTTGTCAGAGCGATGTTGGAAAGTCAGAAAATTTGTGTATTCTAAGGTCAGCCAGTTGTTCATCGCCTAGCTCCAATAAGCTATACTGGCACAGTATGCCTGTAGAAATGAAAAAGCTAGCCTTTTTTTGAACGTATATTGATACGCATCGTGCATGATTTACATTAGTAAAATTCGAAATAATTCCATATGGGATCCTCAGCAGACTCCAGCTTCAATCAGTCTTCGCGAGAAAAGCAAAGTCAAAGAACACACGAATCGTAGGCGATCTAACTAATGTTTATCTAAGCATGCATGGAAAAACAGCATATGTATTACTTCTACATGTATTTTCCATATACACCACCACAGAATTCGTGTTACACAGCTAGTATTACAACTTTGCGTTGGATTCAGGCCTTCACTAAATTTCCACCGCGGGGAATCGCTATTTCTCTCTCTCTTTTCTCGCTCTTTTGCTCTCTCTCTCTCTCTCTCTCTTTCTTCCTATATATATATATATATATATATATATATATATATTCATCAATTAATTATGTCAGTCACGGACACTAGCTCTTTATAACGAATATATCGTAAGTTACAGGCGAGAATGTTTCGTTAAATCAAGTAGTATTCTGGCTCGAAAAGAGTCAGGTCACAAAAAATTTTGGCAGACTCACAAAGAACTCAATCTGTTTACTGCTCACCTCTTGCAGGTAAATTTTACGCTATTATATAATTATAGCGTTTCTTTGACTCTTTATTGTCAATGCTCTTTTTATCTCTATCATGAGTCTAACATTTTTGTCGCCACTTTTACGATCACATATTTCATACCTGGTATACGGTAGCAGATAGTTTTCATATTGGACAAGAAGGTTTTGGGATGTAGATCAAGAACAATAAACTGACTTGCCAGTAGGCAAGACAATGTAATCAAGTAAATCGTGTGTGTATATGTGTGTTTACGTAATGATTCTCTAGAACAAACCTGCCATTCCGACTCCCTGTTTCGCACTTGTTGACGATGACAGTCATAGAAACTTCTCCCGAATTGTGTAATCTGAACGACGGTTAGAGCGTTTACGATTATCGGTTGCCCGTTGTTATTTACCGTTCATAAAGGCTAGGTCTGACTGTTGTTGCTTCTATTATGCCCTAATTATCATTATAGCTTCAGCCGGTACATCGTTTTATTGTTAATTGACAAAAAAAAACGTAATATATTGATTCTGCACGTTGTGCCGTTTCAAAGCTACAGTCGATAGTTGTTATAGGCTACGCAGAATGCTTCTGATTAATTTCATTCATTAATAATATTTTCTGTGGCAGCAAGAGCTGTCTGTTATTGTAGAATAAAGTTGCTGATGGGTACAAAGATACTCGGAATAATCACCGCGATAGTCATAAAATGTGTTTAAAGTGCTGGTGATAGCGTAAGCTCCGTCAAACTTATTACGTTTGCACAACTTCAGTTGTTCTCGTGGTTTGGGTAAAATTGGTTTTACCTATTGAATAATCTGCGTCAGGCATTTCGCGTCCATAGTTATGGGCTGGGAAGCTAATAACACTTATTCGTAAAGAGACACTTAATCATATATATTTTTTCCTCCATTGAAAACCCTACAGCGACTCCACATCCAATATCTATGCATGGTAATATCGTACATCTTACACATATCATTAAAACAACAAGCAAAATGAAAACAGTTTTATGAAGGGGGTTCACTTTTTTGTCGAATTTGAACACAAAACAGAACAGAACGGACTTGATATAGCAGACGTCTGCTACAAGAAGCACAACATACGATACACTCACAGAAGCTTTCTCTATGTGAAGCATTTTTGAAAGAAGGAAACAAACATAACTTTCTTCATCAGGAATTATTAAAGTAAATTATATCAATCTCATTTGACTATGGCATTACAGGTCGTACTAACGCGGCTGCAGAGTCAACTGGTTTCTCATAAAATCAAGAAAGCTATGACTCCCGTCAATAAGGGTCGCGAGCAGATAATAAATATAGACAAAGAGCGAAACCTGCTTCACGACAGGTTAGTAGCTTCGTACAATAGAAGAGGCTACATTCTCTACAACAAGCGTTTATACGTAAAAGGGGCTGTATCCCCGTTTTAGAAAGCATTACCAAGCATCGTTGCGATCGTAATTATTGACCACTTAATTCTGTATTAGTTCCGCGTTCAACTCTATGCATCCACTACAGGCATGCGTTCATCTCACAAATACGAGGGGATAAAATGTCACAGGACAAAACCTTGGCGGGTGTACAATGTCATTCTAGTCGTATGGCCTATCGTCGCTGCCATGAGAATCCCTTTTTCTTTCCTCGATGGTAGGATAGCCTGAATTTATGCGTGTTCAATTCGACATCTGCGTACAGCCTTGTTGACGGAGAAGTAACTGTGCAGAAATATCACTTGTTCATCGGTTAGCGCCACCTAGCCATTATAATAAGAAGCAACGTAGAGCTTTTACGAATAAATTGTCGATTAGGTTTTAGTACATCCGATCAAAAAACTTTTCCTTATCAGCGGTTCTAAAATGGCGTTGCCCTTTATCAGGATAGCTAATGTTAGTAATGCTTTTTTTATTTTTTCACTAACCTATATCTGACTTATACGTATATTTTAGATAGGATTGCGGGATAGTTCGCCACGTATTATTTTATATGGCGCGTTGCCCTGCGTTTTTTCAAATAAAAATTATAGAATATTACGATTCCTGTGCTGTTTTTTGTTGCTGCGCCGTATTCCTCCAGCTACCAAACTACGCGGGTCAACAATTTGTAGTCTATTGTCAAATTTCTCAGGTGCTACTTTCGGATCAGAAGTCCGCCAAATCTTGTACTGCTACCTGCTCCATCTTTGGACTGTTCCCACCTTACATTGTCAGACTTGTCACAATAATTACATCGATTAAATGATCCCGCATCGCAGCCCACGTTCATCATCTGTATGCACAACAAACCGCGATCTATAACATTCAGGCAGCATACATCTGTCATCCCTCTTTGAAGTTTTGTCAACAAACTTTTATTTTGTTCGTCTTCGACTTTCATCGGCTCACCTTGTGTCCCGCGAAATTCGAATGGCTATTAGCAACACTGACGTAACACATAACAGTGAAAACATTATTCAAATTTTAACGGATCCCCCGCGTTAGCAACATCAACAACCCGCCTCAATCGTTGCCGCATCTTGGCCTTCGTCGCACTCACGCTCGGTTGATTATTATCAGTAGCCACACTAAACGCATAAACTAGTAAGACATAATACACAAGATTTCAGCAGGAAGTAAGATCTGGCTGGGTATTAACGAATACTTCATAGCCGCTCACAAGAACATCTCCGATGATTTACAATGCAGAAGAACGTGAAGGTCGCACTTTAATTTCGTTAGAAATTCTGGCTCAAACCTCGCGATTATAACCTATCCATGCTTCTCACCGCGTGCGAAACAATGACTATTTCCCGCGCTGCTTCGAAACTCCGCGGGCTTAAGGTTATATTTTCTCTTATTTCATGTTTCTCAATCAAGACGGCACCCTTCCACCTAACATTTCGCCTTTTATATAACCCCAGCCTAGGTGGTTCCTTAGCTCGTGTTAGTCTTACTTTGCCTAGCCTAGTTTACATTCTATATATATATATATATATATATATATATATATATATATATATATATATATATATATAAGTAGCTATAGTTCGTGTGTTGCAGTTTCGTGGCCAATCAAATGGAAATACCAGGTCACGCATAATAGGGTTTTCTTATATATTTTTCAGCTCTTTATTGTTTTCCTTTTATCTGACAAGTATTTTATTCAATACCTAATGCATATGGATGCTGCTCTATACAAAACATTTTTGCTGTTGTTGTCTTTCCATAAAATTGCCACTTCTTCTAAGTTCAAAACAGCGCGCTTTTTTGCTATGAGCGCGGTTTTGCACTTCTTCGAAGTTACAAGTCAAGTACAAACTACTATAGAATCATTCGTTTGTCGTTCATTGCCACTAAAAACGATACCAATTAACAAGAAAAAAAACAAATATCTTCTGTACGCATTGATCTTGCTATGTTTGTCTTTGATTGGCCACGCCGACTTCATTTCAGTCCTTTAACGTCACATAAGTAGTACTAATAGTATAATAATAAGTTATGATCATAATCAGATTTTTCTGCTCGTGTACGTCGGTGCCTTTCTTGCGTTTTCTATTCTTGTAGTTGTTGTGATGTCTATCTGCTTCCTGTTTTGTTGGTGCCGAGTGTACACTACTCAAGTAACTTCAGTTGGCTCAGTTCAAACTCGCTATTCCAACCAAAATATATATATATATATATATATTTATATATAGAGCGCGGATGATGTGCATCGTTCCCACGCGAATGGAGGATGTCTAGCTGGCAAATACGTGTATTCGTCGCTGCGTATTGTTATTGTCATTTACGAATGCGCGCCTAATTTGGTTGGTATGGATTAACATAAGTGGCCGGGAAATATCCTCGTCGATTTCCAATCTCTCCTTCCCACCAGTTCGAATCTGAGCGGTCAATTACGTTGATGATCTCACCCCGGCGGAACTCCAGTTCACCGGCTTCCTGCGGCGTGAAGTCGTACATTGCTCGAACGAGACACTGAAATAACAAACAGTTGAAATAGATTGGGTACATGATCACAAAAAATGTCTTAACGTCCAACGAAAATTAATAACATTATCATTTACTTATTTCTAGTGCGTAGTACAGAAAAAACCTAGTACCCTTAAAAGACAAAGAGACGCCTTTGCGCGAAGTTCGGTTCCAAACATTTTTGGTAACAACTGGGCGTGGGTCCGAAGAAACATGAAGACAACAAAGTGTCTCCATATTTTTCGGATTGGTCTACGCAAACATACACCACTCTACATACATTTATACATAAACAACGCCTAATTTATGAAGCTCTACGGGCGTCGTAGGGACTTCTCATCTAAAATAGGCTTACAGCCCATTTTGTCCACTCTCAAGTGAAGCTACTAGCAAGTAAGGGTACGTTCAGAATGGGAAATCGGCTAAGCAGATATACCTTATGCCATAACCTTTTCAAGGATCTACCAAGTTGTGTGTCGATAGGCTCACATGGATCAAGCACCACGACAACACACGTTTACAGGTAAACTCGCTAGACTGCTTTATTATGGAGACAGTAAAATTTGGCTTGAAAAGTAGTACTATCTTGAAGCTAATTAATCGTAGGCACGTAATCTAATCGAATGGGTGGTTCGTGCCCACAATAAAGCAGGACGTAGTATGTCTTCATTCACAAAAATCGATATTTATGTGTCGTTGGCAAGAGCCGAACCAGTGACCTCTAGTCTCTTTTACTCAGAGATCAAAATTAAAGACATAGTACCGAAGCTTTGCTCCCGTAGTAATTGTTGTGCATCGCCAAGATAATACGACTGTTATTTTCTGCTTAACCGTAGTAATACCACAATTTCAAAACTTACAGCGTTTGCAAAAATACAAGTGTTTCCATGGATGGTAAAGGGTGTTCGGTATGAATTCGATATAAAGACAAACAGTAACAAAACATTTGCTAACAAAAGTCAGAGGCATGAACTACCAAAGGTGACCGGCGCCCTCATTTGATAAACCTCGACCTTAAAAATGTATTGTTTGAAGGTGTACAAACGAATCTCTGTCAGTATACAAAATTTTTCTGCTCTTCGGGTACAAATTAACGCAACTCTAGCCTGACGTCGTTTCACTACCGACAAACGATCGAGTGACTCCATAGTGTATAGACAGTATTACTAAAAACACCAAGAACTTCCCTTTGAAGACTAACTTCCGTATTTAGAGCCGATAAAAAAGGGAAAGTTTATTTCTCTAAATCTAAAACTACCTACGTAAAGGCCAGGTAACGTCGTTTCGAGAATCAAGTAGCGAATCGCTTGGTGTTGACTAACAATCTACGAGCCTCCATACGACAAAATTTACTGGGCAATATCTGAGCCAGGTGTCGTCACTTGGAAAAAAACCGACATCTTTGAGAAAAATAATGTTCTTATACAGAGGTCGTAATGTGTTACTATAGGTACCAAAACCGAACAGACACTTATATATGAGTGTAGTTAACCTGCTGTAGAAGGGAGAATAGCAGAAATCACGATTAAACAATAATAATATATAATAGAACAATAAGGCTGCATCGAAACACTTGTGTCGAGTATTAACACTGCACTAGTGCTTTGCAGCGGACGTATCACTGCAATTTTGCGTACCGATCATTCTATAAAAAATAATTTCGCTTCTAATAATATCAACTGTTGGTTACGGCCAGTGGTACACGTTGACTACGACATCGCGTGAATGCATTCTAAATATACTCTCTTCTAAATAAGCTCATTCTTTGGAATAGAGAATTTTTAATTCTTTAATCATTACTGTATATTTACCGGGTCTTGGCAATGCGATCTGAACTAAATAGGGCACATTGTATTGGTTGATATATCAACTATTACTCTTGGAAGGAAGCATTTTTTCATGTTGCATTAGAAAATCAAAGTCTTGAGCTTCTCAAACTTGACAATAAAGGACGTGCGGTAAAAAACAGAACAGAAGTGCTTCATTCATAGATTGTACAGATATCTCCTTTGAATTGATTATTTATAATTCTTTACCAATCCAGATATGAGATTACATAGAGAGGCTAAGAGCGCGCATTGTAATAACGTCTGTTGTATGCAGGGACTTTTCGACATTTTATTCTACAAGGTTACTGAATTCAAATAAAGGATTTCTACGGAAGAAGTTTAAAGGCATTTAATAGAGACAAATGATGTTATAAATAGGGATGAACCTCCAAAAGTCGTTGATTCTTGTCTAGGCCAATATGTCCATATACACAAACGGAACTATATGCAGGCTCGATAGTTGCTTAGCTATTAGCTTTTTTGTTACCAAGCTGATTCCTCCGATGACAAAATTGCTCCCTTATGATATGATACTATTAAGAAAACTTTACTATATTCTAGAAACAAACCTGAATATTTGTCTAATTCGCACCAGAATAGGATAAGGCCAGGTAAAAAAAGGTAAAAAGTAAACTTAAGAACGACTATCTCCAAGGGAGAGAGGACTTTGTTACGATGTTTTAATATCACTTTCCCTATTTAGAAAAATACGTTGGGCGTTTATACTGATTAGTATTTATTTGAAATAGCTAGAAAGCTTGAATAGGTTACGCAAAACTACAACGTTATTAGTAGATTTATTACGCAGCAGCATGCGTACAAAACAAAGCCAGAAAAAAACCAACACACATCAGTGGCTAAGTGGTCATAAACCGCATAGCGGCAGTACGGATTTAATCTTAAAACAGCGTTCTACCCTGGTTGCCAGCCAGCAACGAAAGACCATTCTCATTCGGATAGCCAATACCCCTCGACAATACGAACAAAGTGAGTGGAAATCAGAATTTTCAGCTAGGAATTTGGGAAATGCCGCTACAGGTGTGATAGGCGAGCAGTAGTTGTAAGGGAGGACGGCAGTGACAATAAAAGGATGAAACGGGCATGTTTAGTGAAGACACACTTAGGGTTGTCGGGACGGGTTGACACGGACCTCTCCTACCTCATCCGGATGCATATCCTTAAGTTTGATGTCCTGCGAGCGGGACACAGATGCAGAACGATGATACTCGACCAATTCGTTTAACGACGGGAATTTCACCACCCAAAGAAAAAACATGCCTTTTGTGTCACGCAACACCTGAAAAAATCAACCAGTCCAATCATACGCGGAACGCATACGTATTAGAGTAACAGCTTGAATGGGTCATGCTCAGTGAAGAGCAGCAGCGATTTTTTGCTATTACAAACAATATAATACCAGCAAGTAAATACAAATCAAGAGACATTAAAGCATATACAGTTTCGGAGGAAACTATGAAACTTCGTATATTAAATGAGAACCTAGTGAAATAAACCTATTCCTATGATTAAAATTCATTTTGGCCTTTTATATAATTAGTGATCTAAAAGCGACCTTTTTTTTTTATATACACGATTTTTTTCTATACTCCACAGAGCCAAAAAATACTATTATTACTGGAATTAGCGCCTCGAAGTAACAAGGCGCTCGATACTTCACGACAGGGACGCTGGACCGGGAGGAGCCGGAACTGATGTCATTCAGATCGCAGGGCCCTCTCAGGTACAGTCGAGAAAGTTCACTTTAGTATTGCTTGATGACAAATACAATCGTCAATAATCTAGTTGACACACGCCTAGCTAGACATTGTACATCATAGGGGATCTTTCTTGATCCTTCTCTATCCACCTTGTAAAAAAAGTTCTTGGAATCACCTTTTGGTGCAGTATCAGAAACCGGATCCTACCAAAAATAAGTTAGTCAACCAATAAAAAGTGATTTCTGGGGGTGCGGTCCTTTGCCTTATTAGTGGGCGCAGTATATGATGAGCAGGCGAATCTCTTCTAAGGATCATTAATTGCCTACAGCTCTCGTTATTAATCGTCAATGGTGCGATCGCAGAGCACGAGTGGGTCAGTTCTATACAAATGAAGACAAAAAGAAATCGTAAGAATCGAAGGATTATCTTTACTCTTAAATTTCTACCATTTCTTCTCTTGTCACTATAGTAACATAGGTAGCATGGGCGCTTTAGCCATTGCGGCTATTGCTGCGAACTTCCAAGTATACAAAGGCACCGAATTCAAATGAGTGGCGAAGATCTCGACAATGCCAACCGGTCCGCGTAACATTCGAAAACTGCTAAAATGATAACAATGAACAACAACATCTGACAAATATGTTCAACCCGCTACTTTTTGCGACTTTTCTGTCGCCTCACAGCTCCCGCCGTCAGATATTCCTGTCCAGTAGCAGTAGCCACAATGCGGACTAATGCTTTCAACAATCGGCAAACTATGATCAGTCAGGACCCTACCATAATCTGCGAACGTATAGAATAGCAGGACTAATTTTCAATGTGTTCCGAACTAGCCGAATCGGACAGCAGCGACTGTGGATCCAACTCATGACTCAAAAACGAAAAAAAAATTAACACTAATAACTAGCTAAGATAGGACAATGGCAGCAACAATTACATCAACAAAATTTATAACACATTATAAATTACAACTACCAGAACTGCCACATTCCATTTTGCGTCCCTTGTGTTGTCTATTGCGATCGCAACTGCAGAACATAACGCTGTGTGACTGTTCTCAACACAACATGTCTTCACTTAAATGCGATGTTCTCGTCCATTGATCCTGCTGGTTACTCTGCTAAACTTAAGATCTTCTTCGTTTGTATTTCGCATATCTTCAGTTCGATCACTGCTTGCGTCCATTCTTATTGTTTTTTGTATGCATAGTGTAGAATGCATAACAAAATGAAAACTGGCTGACAGAACTGCATCACTAACGTAAACAAACGCGCTTCTGGCACGTGGCTCGTACCTTGCCAAATAGACCCTTGCCGTACTGTTTCCTCTTATGCAGTATGACCTAAAAAGATCCTTTTAGCGAATGAAAGTGTTGCCGGTTCGTTGCTGATACTAGTTCAAGCCATTCTATAGGTAACACGTAGGTAAGAAACAAAACGTCATGGGAAGAGTTCAGTAGACGATATGACTGGTGGTAGCATATTCGAAAGTTCATCTTATTCGGTTGGAAAGTAGGCGCCAGCCAAGCGAGTGTTATAAACAGATTACGTTCAAATGTGCTGTGGAACGAAAACTTGTTTAGCTTGATAAATTTGTATGTTATCTACCTTAAAGTGCTGTACGCCATCTCCACATTTGACGGATAGTGAAAAATCTCCGGGACTTGATTCGCTGACTCGTATAAGAAAAGCTCCTTCGTGTTTGTTGCTTAACAGTTTTTCGGCATCAGCCCGCGTGATCCGACCATAATACCTGAGAAACACGAACGCGCGAGGATATGGTAAGACACCAAATTATGTGCCAAATTAATGGTGTCGGTCAGTGAGTTAACTAAAACAACCAAAGCTCTGAGCCTATAACTATTTTTATAAAAATAAGAACAGCTAACGGCAACCTAGAAAATTTAATGCAAATTATTTGTGTACTTCCGCTGAATTAAATTTGAATAAACCCTACATATTAGAACGATACAATTTAGTGGATGTACTATAATAATTTAAGTGTATCTTTTGTTCGAAGTTTTAGTACGCCCCATATAATGCGTGTTCAGTATTACTATATTATTTATAATGTTGAACCAATAGGAGAAAGACGAATAGTTCAACGACACATCGTATGACGAAAAGATATTACTGAGGCCATCAAATAACCATCAAATTGATTATGACACGATGTACTTACCAGTCATGCTTCTTCATTTCGATGTAATTAGATGGAATGAGACCTTCTTTGCCATCGAGCTCAGCCCTATACCAGTTCATATCGTCCTCCATATTAAGCACCTGCAACGCAAATTAACCAATAGTACAGTACACATAATACGAACTTAAATTTTCAGAGCATTTATCTATTCATCTCAAGATGAATGTGCGCAAAACAGAACTAAACTAGCACAGAGTCGAAATAATAATCTGATGAGATCATCAATCTGACCTATTTTCAGCGGGCACTTTCGAATGCATCGAGTGAGCGTCGCCTCAAAATAGGGTGACAATTGCTACGTCCGCACAGCTCTAGGATAACGCTTGTCGATCTGAGCCGTTCGGCTCAACAGGTAGACACCTCGCAAAAAACACTGCACCAGCGAAACGCTTGGCTTTTTCAACTGAACAATACGGCGACTTACACCTTCCCCATGTTGCATCCGGGATCCTCTTCCAAATTCAATTCCCCTGTTTCTAAAGCTGCACGGCACACTTGTCCATCACAATAGGGAGGGGGGAATCTTGCAACTGAATAATCATCAGTTAACACACTCCAAATTGTTGAATGCACTCTCCCTTTCTTTCTCTCTGGTCGATGGCAGGCGATTATATTCTGCAGAGACATTGACGTTCGTCTATCCTCTTCATATCACGCAAAGCAAAAATTGATATTTTTTCTACTTTAGCATTACCCATTTCTGTAAGATAAGCAGAGTCTAATCACTTTTCGAAGGCACATCAGCTTGAAAATGGCACAGATTCAGGAATTGATAGCCAGATTGAGATTAAAAAAAGTATTTAGAAAGCATAGGAAAGAGAAAATAGAAACTGTGTGTGCACGGTTAGTGCTTGCCATAAGCGCATGATGCCTTTCCTCGATCCATCAAAAAGCCTATTTGAAGTCTATTATTTTGCCTGATATGTCAACTGCTGATTAAGGGTAGCTTGTTCCGCTAGTAGTAGCCATAGTGAAGGTCCCGTAAAAGGCCTTGACACTGAACTCTCCAATCTTATCTACAATATGCTCTTCTTCTCAGACTAAAAGCCTTTAGCCGTCAGTTGAGGAGCGCTCATTGCTAAGGAGAAATTAGATTGCATTTATTCAGAAAACGTAAGGACCATGAGGCCATTCCGAATATTTTACTAAACGGAGTAAATCTGTACTGTTCCATGCGACATGTAGTCACCGTAACTAAGATTTCATCAATTAGCAGCGACCCCTCTCACCACTCCTTTCTTCACGCCATAAACGTGTCGCTTCGGGGTGTGCTTGTACTCTTTGAGACATGATTTTTTGGTGTAATTTTTGGTGCTTTTTTAATGTAAATACATTCACTTATGTTATAAATGCGTCTAAAACTTATGTCTAAAGAGATTACCCACTGTGCTCAACTAGTCTGGATTATCTAGCAGTTTACATATTACAAAAACTGGCTTAACTAAATACAAGTTACTTTTTTTAATCAAACACAAGAAATGTTCCAGTCGTTTCTGGCGTTGCAACTTTTAGTTTATGATCAGTATTAAAATGGTATCATCGAAAACGATAGCAAAACAAAGTTACGAGACACAGCCAGTGTCCTTCAAATACCTTAAAGTAATATAAAACGGTATAATCATTTCCATAACGCTTACATAGTGTTGTGCGCCACTGCCATAAAAAAAATATCCGCTCCTGTTACGTTATACTTTCAGTTTAATATACCTGCACTCACTGTTGCCTCTTAGTCATATCATATGCAGAAAACCCATGCAGAGTTAATCACGTTATAGAGTAACACACACGTGAATATTACGACCTACACATATATATTTCAAGCGATCCCCTCGCCTCATTGCCCCCGGCAGCTAATCTATGATTCATACTTTTGCATTTAGTTCTATTTTTTCGCGTGCTGTTGTTATTACTGCTTTTTCCGTTAACAAGAAAAAAAACTACAAAGTGACCAAACGCGTCACGTTGGTGACGTTGGTATAATCGTGCTGTTTATTTTGTTGCTTTTTTTTCTCTTCTTTTTACCGTGAATAGAAGTAGTCAGCATTGGCACCAGGAGCAAGCTGATTCTACAAAACTCCATCGCGATTTTACGCGATTTCTGCCATCTGCTACAGCTTCTGTCATTGTTGATGTGCGCTAAAGTGACATTGCTGTCTACGGCTTGGCTGAATGGGCTAATGCTTACAGGCAAACGAATACTTATGCATTAATCAGATCGTATATATATATATATATATATATATATATATCTGATTGTGTCGTTTTTAGTTCGCCTCTGCCACTTTTTTTTAGGGTTTTCGACGGGTGCGCTTCAGTCCAGAGCGTCGCACTAAATGTTACGTTTAATTTGTCGCTTCGTATTCGTTGAAATCGTTCTCATTGTCAAATAAATGTATAGTATTGTTATAACCGACGTACTGAACTATACTGGCAAGAAGAAGTGTAGAGAACAATTGCTTCCCTCTGATTGCCTCTCTCTGGATCAATAATCGCCACAATAACCGTTGAGAATATGTCCGAATGCAAAATTAACTAATTTTATGGCGTCTATGTTACTCCGTATAACAGTGAGCTCTTACATATAACTTTACGCCTCGATACATGGAAACCTGGCCTAAATCGGACTATAAACACTAGGCTTTTCTGCGCCGCTAGAAATGGGAACCGATTCAGAATAGAACAGAAATTCTTATTCAGGCAAACTCATGCGTTATGTTCTAGGATAGTGCACAGAACAAACTAGTTTGAAAAAAATATCAGCGGATTACAAAATTAAATTATTAATGGGAAACTCAATAGTAGACTGCCTCGACTGTAACTCTACGCACCATGAGCATAGCATATAACAACTGTCCTAATGTGTTACCCTGAGTATAACCATTATTTTTATGTATTTGAAAGATTGTTACGCTAACAGCCTGCTCTGTGCCGGCCACAATGCGAGCAGTTAGTGCCAAAGTGAGACAAATATATTTCCATAGACTAGCAGGTCGGACATGTTAGCAACTGAAGCAGAGGTCAACATGCTAATGTCAAGGATAAGTAGTAAGGACCTGCTAATTGTGGTTTTCATGTGTCCATACGCCAGCCCACGGCTTAATTGTGTTGTTAATCCGCCTACCACGTACATCGTGCTCCGCTAATCTTCGTTGATCCTACCTTTCATTCGTTAAGGTTCTCTTTCCAAACGTACGTAGCAATGTTAAAACTTTTTATAGTCCTCACAACGGTCGACGTACACTTTGCAAGTATTAAACCACCATCGGCAGCCAGTTGTTGCCGCGAAAAGAAATCGCCCATTTTTTATACCAAAAGTATCGTTTAAAATATGCGTCTTTATCACCTTCGTCGAAAGTCTGAAAAGGCTACAAAGGTCATACGCAAGCAGAAGGATAGAAAATAGCATTCCAATTTCTATCTGATGGCAAACTGGATCTGTAACGTCTTCCCAATGCTCAACCTTTTTAGATTCAAGCTGAACATTAGTTACGTTTCAATAAATGATTGCATGCAGGATAAAAGCAAGAATATGACCTTTTCAAGCAATCCGTCTCGGATCCGATGGACAATAGCCATCGATTATCCTTAGTATGTAGAACGATGAATGCAGAGCGAAACACAACCTTTTATGTGATGTCGAATTTACAGAATAATGAATGCTTCTGCCGACGTATATAACTTCACTCCATTCGCCGTATTCCTGTATACCTACTTTATAAAACATCGGATTAAGGTGTCCTATTCATAAGAAACCAATAAAGGTAACGTCCCCAAACCTAACTTCAAATCCCTAACTATAACCTAGCTCCAAATAACGAACGCTATAAAATTTATGTCCCTGTCACGTGCTTACTTCGCAATGTGTTTCTCAAAGACACCTGAAACATGTCTTTGAAACTTTCATTTCAAGTGTAAATTTGTTCGCGTATTTTGCGCACAACTACGCAAACCGGATTGAGTACAGAGAAAGAGCTGCATCAACCTGTTTTAAAACTTTCCTCCTTAGCATAGGGTAGTTGACTCTATTTCAATACCCTCCTACAAAGACGATAAAAGATGCCACGCAATATTAAACTATGCGTCAGCAGGAATCTCATTTATCGATATTTTATTTCCGTCAATATTGCCTTTTTCGACGTTATGGTTTGGACGACTTCGACACTGGTTGACTGAAAGCAAGCAGAAATCGCTGTCAGCGACACGTCACTACTTCACTTTTGTAAATAAAGAAAGTTGTTATTTGTAGCCTCATGTGCGCGATTTTACGCATGACCGATGATTTAATAGCGGTCGCAGCGTCAGCAAAAGGCAGTAACCCTCAACTTAATGAGGACACACTGACGATATTAAGCCGTTGACGCATGGCACGTTATGCAGCTAGGAAAAGAGAAAAAACTGCCTAATTATGACTTTCATTCCTCGGGAGCGAGCGTCTGTTAGTAGTCGAAGATAACGGAGCGCATCGGTCCTATTTGCTTAAACATGCGTTTGGATGCATCTCGAATCCCTTAGCGCGTTGTCGTTGTGCTCGCCTAGATTTTTTCTATAGAATCAATAAGAGCGCTTCGCAATGATGCATTGCTCGAAAAAACCTCCCTGTGGTGAGCTCGTAGCATGAGAAGCTCCCTTCGAGCTATAAACAAGGCATGTTCACTCGTAAAGCCTGTTTCGAGCAACGCCCAAAGCATTTGTAAAACAAACACCTTCATCGTAGCTGCAACTCTTCGCACAGCTTATCAGATGCTTATTCGAGTGATGAGAACAACTCCGTCGGGTCTCTGCAACTTTTGTCAAACACTTCCGTAGTCCGGTGCCGACTAAACGTTAGGAGCATTTTCTGCATTAATTATTAATTAACTATTACATATTAATCCACAGGTGGAGATTCGAATGGTCAGGTCTCTTCACGAAAAAAGAACAGAAGGGCGTCACCAAAAACACGAAAATACAACACAATTTATATGAATAAAAATAGTGATGAGCAATAGCTAAGTGTTATGCCAGCAAAGACTGGAAGTAACGCTAATGCATAACAGATCCAATTACCCAGATTGTAAAATTACTAGGTAGAGCATCGTTG